ATAAAGGTGATGGACTGGCCAAGCATGTCTCCAGACCTAAACTCTATTGAGCATCTGTGGGGCATTCTGAAATTGAAGGTGGAGGTGCGCAAGGTCTCTAACATCCACCAGCTCTGTGATGTCGTCATGGAGGAGTGGAAGAGGACTCCAGTGGCAACCTGTGAAGCTCTGGTGAACTCTATGCCCACGAGGGTTAAGACGCTGCTAGAAAATAATGGTGGCCACACAAAACATAGACAGTTTTGTGCCCAATTTGGACATTGTCACTTAGGGGTGTACTCACTTTTGTTGCCAGTGGTTTAGACATTAATGGCTGTGTGTTGCTTTATTTTAAGGGGACAGCATATTTACACTGTTATACAAGCTGTATAGTCACTGCTTTACATTGTAGCCAAGCATCATTTCTTCAGTGTTGTCACATGAAAAGATATACTAAAATATTTATGAACTGCGAGGGGGTGTACTCGCTTCTGTGATATACTGTAGATCTTCCCGTAAGAGAGTCAAATGGGCAGGAGGCTTAGAAGGAATGGAGTGGAATGCTGTTGCTGGTCTCCAGCTTTTCCTACCCCTGCCCCTTCCAACTCTATGATTCTATGATGCTATTTGTTAGATGCAAGCCAGGATCTCCACAGAGTTGTAAGCATCTATGACTTCACCAGAGTTATTCAGAAATTCTACCATTGACCTTGAGGTGGAAATTAGTAGTCTCAAGGCAGCATTTTCAGTTATTTACATTTATTACTTTCTCATAATTACAGCAACAATTCTATACAGTTAGTAAATATTATAATTCCCATACTGCAGGATTAAGAAGGGCCTTGAGGCTTATTGAGAGTGACCTGCCTATGAAGCCTTTTTTTTAAAAATGGCAACCTTAGTTTTCCTTTGTGCCAACTGTTAGCCCAGGTGGTAAGGAACCTGTGAACTTCCAGATATTGCAAGACTACAGTTCCATTCATGCCGGCTTGGGCTAATGGAAGTTATAGTTGAATAACACCTACAGCACCACCCTCTCCCCATATCTATGCCGGTTCCATCTTCTTTTGCATGTGGATTGCTACATCACTCTCTGCTGGTCACAGTCATTAATGGTCAGAGAAGGTGGGGTATAGCTGCTTCAGGAGGCAGCACTGGGCACCACTGAAAGTAGGCAAGACCTAACCCAAAGGACGATGTCTAACCCACTGGGCATGTACACTGCACAAATGTCATTTAAATAAATGAGAACCAATTATTGGAGAACACAGTGACTCATACCTGATGGGGTGCAGAAAAACTCATGTTGCAGTGAACAGGCCCGCCAGTGGTACCCAAGCCTTGCTTCCAGTATGCTTGTGTTATCATAGGTTGAATGGTTACCACTGGCAACAGCAGGGCAGAGGACAGGCCTAACAGCAGAGGGTTCAGACATATATTGGGCTTGCCTCACCAATGGCACTGGAATTTTCTGCCAAATTGGGGAGGTTGGGAAAAATGTTCCTGTCTTTCCCTCCACCTTGGGCTAACAGCCTAGTCAGCACCTTTGGTCAATATTGATAAAGGCTGCACCCATACTGGGCAGAATGGGCATTGAGTCCCAGGCCTGTACTATCCCTTCTGCTTATCAGATAGAGTTACCACCTGTGTGGCAGGCAGCAACTCGATAGGTGTGGCTTTTCCTGTCCTTCAGTGCCTGAGATGGCAGCTGTTAGAGCACAGAGGGGGAAAAAATTAGGCCTGCTTCTGTTTTCCTTCCTTGGAGGCAGCTTCTCGGCTTGAATTTCACACTCCTTTGCTTCTCTTCTCACTCACCCCCCCCAATCCTCCCCTCTTTTCACAAACGTAATTTGTTCCCATTTCCAGAGGGAGTGCCACTTCAGACTGTTGCAGCAAAAGATAAGGAGCCCTATGACATCTTTACTAACAAATATAATATTGTACAAGTGTCTGTAGGCCATTGATGTAAAAGGCATGACAATGACGTATTATCCAAATTCTCTCTCTTTTCTCTCACACTCATATATACACGGCTCATCACCGGGGGTTGGACTAGAAACAGGTTAGAGGGACTTTAACTGCAGAAAGTACTGATAGTGACAATTAGATTGTGAATAAGTGGTTATTGGCTGTTGGATGCTCAGAGTTTATAATGTAATAGTCATTTTTCAGTACAGCACTTTCTGTGTTTAAAATTTCTCTAACTTCCTGTCTTCTAGGCTTGCCCGGGAGTCAAGCTTTGGCACTGAAATGTAGGTTTTGAGGCCCTTTCTTCAGAGCTCATGCTTCAGATCTGAAGTCTTAGGGAGTGGGTTCTTGCCAACCTAATAATCCTAGATTTTGGGATTTATTCTCATGGCTTCAGAGCATGTCATTTAGTCATGCTGAGAAGCAACCAAGTGCTTTCTATTATTGTGTGTGTTTTGGAGTTGCTGCTGCAACTCATTTCACACCAGGAGCACCACGTTCTCTCCCTCCCCCCTCCCTTTCACTCAACACACACACACACACACACACACACACACACACACACACACACACACACACACACACACACACACACATTTTGCAGTCGCTGCTGCGCCATTACAAGAATCTGCCCTTCCCTGGGTCTCAGGCTTTGCTCTGGAAATTATAGGGAATAGCATACATGTGACCCAGCAACCCTATTCAATTCCACTCACAACAGGTACAAATATATAACAGGAAATTCTGGATTTAGCTGCTTTTCAAGCCTTTTTCTCTTATTATTATTACTGGTTTTAATAAGTTGATATAACATTATCCCAACCCCAAAAAAACCTAGCTTCTCTTGATGACAATGCAACCAGAGGTGGTTGTTCTTTATGTGTATGTACATAAAGGAGCACACTCATTTGTGCTGGTTTTTTTAATCTGTCCACAGAAGTGGGGCTACCAGGACACACCAGCAAAGGAACTTATGAAACAGCGAGGAGCTGGCCATGCCCAAGAAGAACCAAGGATGCCTGTTTACCTGGCACATGGACGTATGACCCCTTCCCCTAACTATTCACCTTTAGGAAGACTACAAGGACAGCTATATTATAATCCGCAAGGCATGGGTCTACCCCGGGCTTGGGGACACCCAGGAAAGCACCAACATGGACATCAGCTCCGGTTCTGAAATTGTTCCGAATGTCCAGAGGGAAGGAAAAGTACTCCGAAGAGGGGGAGAAACCTGGAACAGAGTGGGAGGTTTCCTTCAAGCCCAGTGGTTTACAGAAAGAAATCAGATTATTCAAACTGCAGGAGAAACTAAGGAATGATTACATGCCTGAGGCTTTTAATGTATTCTGCTCTAAACTGGGAGAGTTTTCTACCTAATGACTTTTCCCCCAGTGAACTGCCAATTGCAGTCCTGAACTATTCCCAGTTTACATTGTGACAAATCTATTTTACTGAGATTATGTTGCGTCAGCAAATGAGGGAAGCCACACAAATGTCTACTAACGCAACTACACTAGGCCAATGTTGATTGGTATAGGCTGAACTGGAGAGAAGCAGCAGGTTGGAAACTCAAACTCATCAGCTGACAGCAGCTGAAGCACTGAGAACCAATACAAAAAGTTATGTCGGCAGAAAAATTGGATGCCTTCTTAACCCCCTGCCGCCCCCAATCAATATGGGTGAAATGGATGCCATTCATACCAAACTCTTGTGAATGGGACAAAAGGTTGCATGTGCTGTCTTTACTGGATTATCTATCTGATTGTTATATCCATGTTCAAAATAAAGTATTTGAAATTATGAACCAAGACAGCCTAAAGAAAATGCTTTGACATTTAAGAGGTCAAAAGATTTACAGTGAGCTTCTGAAGAGAGGTGTTTAGAGAGGAAAAAGAAATACTCAAAGGTGTGGTCATGTGCATACACCAGAGTAGATGAAAAGCATGGAAAAAACATACTGACTTTAATTGAGGATGAGAGATCCATCATGGAATCTAGAGTTGGGCAATACCTTTATTTATTAGGACCAACTCAAATATCAGAACAAACAAGGAAAACAAAACCCCGAGCTTGCAAAAGTTACCTTTCTAAACTACAGGTCCCAGAATCCTCCAGCCAATATGACAAATAATCATGCTGGCTAGGGGATTCTAAGTAAGTTATTGTCTCAAAGAGGTAATTTTCCCAAGCTCTGCAAAACAGTGAGGAAACTCTTGAGTTCTCCAGAACTTCTTGGCAATTTTTTTGCCCAGAATCCCTGCCCATGCTTAGCCTTACAATTAGTCTACATTCTCCATCTTCAGGCCAAGGCCAACTGCAACATCCAGCCTTTCACATATTCCTCTAACTCACCCTTGTACTCTGATATTCAATCTGACGAAGAGTCCTGGATAATTCAAAACCCTGCTTAATACTTTGTAACATTTAAGTTGTTGCTAGTACAAGGTTATTCAACAAACCCTAGTTTTTAGAGGGGCTTTTAAAAATATGGCTCAGTACCGATTCCTTTGAATCGAATGGAGACAAGGAGCTTGAAAGGGATTCATAACATGTTTTAATTTAGGCCACCACAGAAAGGGAGCATAAGAAAGCCAGATGGTTACATGGGCGGTAGGTCTACCGGTGACCATTAGAATCTGTTCAAGAACTCCAGTGTTCCTGCTGTTCCAATGTCCTAAGTGAGTGGGTACAGGTGTCTGACAGAGGCTCCTTGTCGAACAAGACTATGCACCATTGCATTGTGCAACAATTTTTTAGTATGAATAAAAGAGCTGGAATTACAGTTGCTAGGAGCAAGACTGAGGATGTCTGCTGCTCACTTGCAGAGAAGGGAAAATTCCAAAAAGTGCAAATTATCCTCTTGCTTTAACAAGAAGGATGAACAGACTTCAGGCTGCTTGTCCTTCTTCCTAAAAGAATCTTAAAGTCCAATTAAGTCCAAAACAGTGGCAAGGAACAAAGAGGGCACTTTAAAATTAAATAAGCAACTAGATGCTTTGCAATATATGCCCAGCTCAAGAATTTCTTTCAGTACCAGAACTGAGCTTTGAGTTCTTTCCCACAGATATTTGTTGAACTACAGCATTTGGGAATATAGGAATTTCTTTTGGAGATAATGAAATATGCCTTTTAAAAAAAAACCAAAACCAAACTTTACATGAAATTTGCACTATTAAGATTTATATTTCATTTCCTTCCCTTCCCTTCCCTTCCCTTCCCTGCAGATGTCATCCATCCATCCATCCATCCATTGCAATCTAGACTCCAAGAATGTAGGGTGTTGTATCTTGACAACTAAGGTGGCCACTCCAGTTATTTCTTCAATACAGAATTCCAGAAGCTCTCTTCTATGGAAATAATCTCCACAGCATTCAGAGGATACCTATCACTGAGCAAAATGAAACACCTAGTCACCCGGCTGCTACACGTGCTACTCCACCTTGGATTACAACTGCACAAGTATCAAAAGTGCCCAGGGTGTTGTATCTTGACAACTAAGGTGGCCACTCCAGTTATTTCTTCAATACAGAATTCCAGAAGCTCTCTTCTATGGAAATAATCTCCACAGCATTCAGAGGATACCTATCACTGAGCAAAATGAAACACCTAGTCACCCGGCTGCTACACGTGCTACTCCACCTTGGATTACAACTGCACAAGTATCAAAAGTGCCCACCTACAGGCTAACACCAATACCAACATCAAGGAGAGATATCTGAACTATTTAATGATTGCCCTGTAGTCCCAGAAGAGAGACGCAGGACAGATACTAAGTGACCCTTACTAATTAGTATAAAGGATTAGTCTTTAAGATGGCACTAAGTATATTTTGTTTTTCATAGGCTTCCTGAGTTCAAGGCATCTTCCTTCACTCAAACAAAATGTTTTAGCATGCTCCAGGACTGAGAACCACATTCAAAGCTCTTTAATACTTTTTCTCCATTAGTTATTAACATCAGGCAAAAGGGTTATTAACATACCCAATAAATCCTTGGTGCTTGGGGGGGGGCAACGCTGGTGAAATGGGAGACCAAAAAATATGGACTTTGCGCCCTCTAGAGGCTGGATGCCGAGGGCACCCATTTCCACTGCAATGTCAACTCAAATTAACAGGGCAGAACCCAACAGGCTCCCCTTTCACAGGTGTTGTTTGGGTTAAAACCAGCACAGTCAAGATTCTTCTGCCCCCCTAAGGGCAAAAGCCAGTTTCTTGCGCAACCAGCAGGATCTTTGAATTGCTAAGCAAACCTTCCGGGGGTCTTGCAATGCCATGGCTCCCTCTTTGCTACATCTGCTCACGGACAGGACAGAATCAGCGGGACGTTTTTGCCAGCAGGTATAAAAGGGAAGGAGGCTGGGAACAGGTGTTTAGATCTCTAAGGGCCGTAAAGGCAAGTTTCCAAGAATGGGAGGTTGCCTTATATCCTGAGTTCAGAAAAGTTACTTTATGTGTCCATGCTAACAGAAGGATTATGGAGGTTTAGACCAATGGTGAAGACAATAGGAATCTGCTTTATACCTCGTTGGACCTTTGGTCCTTTTAATCCAGGAAGATTTATTATTATTAACAGTAGTTCTCTGGCATCATCCTTTTACTTCATATGCTGTCTGAAATTTTATTTATTTTTTAATGGAGATGCTAAGGATTAAAACTTGAAATATTCTGTGTGCAAGCCTCTGATCTGCCCACTGAACTACAATCCCCTTTAGTATTGTTTCTGACCAGTAATGGCTCTCCGTGGTTTCTAGAGCCACTAAAACACACCTGATTTCAGAAGGTAATTCAGTACCTGAACAGGAGACTGCCAGGCAATACAAGAGATATACAAGGAAAGACTAGGAGGGAAGCTTGCCTGAAACACTAGAAAGTGATTGACAGCTATCAGCTATGATATGCTGCCTGGGGAATTCTGGGAACAGTAGTTTCATACCAATAATTGGCCCAAGAACTACTGGCACCAAGGGGATGATTCAACATAAGACATTTTATGTTCCTATGCATGTTCTCGAATTTCCATCCTTTACTACCTCCAGTTCTTTTTAACTGGAACCTCCCAGGAACCAAACCTGAGATTTTTTCAGTGTGCAAAGCATGTACTCTCCCATTGCTTTATAAACTTTTCCTTAAACCCAGTTCATGGGTACTCAACACTGTTTGAATCTGAATTTACTCATTTTTTCACAGGGCAGGATGTTGTGGAATACACTAATTCAGATGGCAGATTGAAACTGTTCTTGTAAAAATTACTTTGCGGGTTATACTTAGATAGCATAGCAAGCAGGAGTTGCAGTCCAAATTGTAACTTTCAAACACTGAATCTTAGGTTGCAACTACATAGCAATAAATATGCAAATTCATTACCTGCGAAGTCACACCTGGGAATTCAGCTTTCCTAGAATAGATCTGAGTAAAGAAGCCACACAGGATGATAGGAAGAAATCAATAAACAGCTTTGATTGCAGCTGCTTAACACAGCTATCCGATAGATTTCCTGATCTGCAGGAGGCATGGTTAAGAAAAACTACCCTAATAAGCTGTAAACAAGCACTGAGGGGCAATTTCCTTGTCTTATTTTCTCCTCTCATTTTCTCTCTTGATGTCTAGACGCCCTAGTGCAACAGCACTGACACCAAGCTTTTTCTAAAAAAAAGAAATGGCATTATTCTACATGAAGGAAGAGAGTGAAATCTGTGCAGGATCACACTTTTCTGCATCAGTTCAAGTCATCGCACTGTCTAAACTGATGTGAAAGCATCCATTGTGTAAAAATGTAGAAGCCTCAGCAGTGGGGAAGAACAACTACAGATTGGGGACCACCAGCACGTCCAGTCTAATTTTCATTTGCTTTTATATTATATAATCACCAGAAAAAAATACAAATGAATCTTGGCAGCTTGGATGGAATGATTGGTCCTTTCTCTGAACTGAGGCAAGACACAATTTCTCATTTATAATTTAATTAGGGTGCAACTACATTAACAAATCATGTGGGAAATGCTCCAAGAATTGGATGATTTGATTTGCATTATTTTCTATTGGCTACTTGAGATACAAGGCAGAGATTTTTCACCCGACTCATATTTTTCCCTCTGCTGCTGGGGCTTCTACTTTTGTTTGTAATCCAGTGCATTTGTATCAGTTCGGACCATGTGATTGTTTGAGCTCGTGCAATGGTAACCAGAAGTTGACTCTCCCAGATTTCTTGTTTAAGGTGGGGAGAGAGGAAGCAAAGGGCATTCATGGGCCTGTCTGTCCCTCTCAAGCAATCATCCTTTTGTCTCCAAATAGTTTGGATTCCCTCCCACAAAGGCTTGGTGTGAGCACTAATGTGCTAGATCATCTGGACACCAAAGAGGGAAATAAACAAGCAAGGAGGATGTCAGCAGAGAGGAGGAAATTGGCAGGTGGAACTTGTTTGAAGCTTAACTTTTAAGCAATTATTAAAAACATTTATGTTTAGACAGGCCTTCCCGGACTCTATGACATCTGATACAACAGTGCTAAAATAACCAGAGCAGAGCACAGAATGCTGTCCTCTGAAGATGCCGGCCACAGAGACTGGCGAAACGTTCGGAAGAACAACCTTCAGAACACGGCCAAAGAGCCCGAAAAACCCACAACAACCATAACCAGACTTTGATAATGTTCAACCTCCGCCATGCTTTCTTTATTTTTTTTAATGTTCTATTGATATTATTTTTATGTGTCAATATCATATTGATTATTTTATTTTATTCTCTGCT